CTAATTGAAAAGTAAATACTTATCACATTCGATTGTTACGAACAATCATAGCATTATTACCAGTAGGATAAATCGATAAGTTTATGCGTATAGGAAAAATAACATTCAACAACCTCTCATAATTTCGGGTATTTGACCATAAAACAAGCATACTGTGATTGAGTTCATCATCTCGTTATTTGGCTATGTACTTCGTTTCCAGTAAGTAGACTAAAAATGGAACTTGTTACCTATTGCTAACGTTACGTAACTCATCTGTCAGGAACGGATTCATGTATTTGGCTTTGATCTACACTCTTAGTGTGATGACTATTGATGCTACTTTGTTGTTCAAACTGAATCAAGTGAAACGGGATTCGAACCTGCCACCTAATGCCTGAAAGTCGAACGTCTTAAATACTACAACGCCGCTTTAGTGCTGTTTGAATGGTTTCATCAAGATTTTCTGTTTAATTTTTTTTATTGAATACTTACATTTAATCATGTTTTGTGTGGTTGGTCGTTTAGATTGCTGTAAGCAATCCGATTGTGTGATGAGCATTAAAAAAGACCGAACCACTCACTCAGAAGCCCGAATGAACAAGTATCAAAATATACAACGAATTTTTAGTCAGCAAAGTTTATGCAACAGAATGACATGCGTACAAAACACTCGATGTATATGAAAATTTACGCAGTTGAATTCATGAGTCGATCTAAGTTAAACCACCATTAAAAACCTGGAAGCACTGGATGATCGATTCGTCCTAGTATGGGACTCCTTTGCAGTACACGTCCTCGCACTCGGGGCTCGAGTTCAGGACCTCTGGTCTCTCACGCGAACGCTTAGCTCCTGAATCACTGAGCCGGCGTGAAGGGTTGCGTAAAGTGATAAATCGATTGAAGTTAGACAATAACACCGTTGGATGCCAGCTCAGTGGTCTAAAGATTAAGCGTTTGCGTGCGAGACTGGAGGCCGTGTGTTTGAGTCCTGAGTGCGGGATCGTGGGTGCGTACTGCTGAGGAGTCCCATACCAGGACGAACCAAATGTCCGGTGCTTCCATGTTCTCACTGGTGGTCTAACTCAGGTCGACTCGTGAATTTAACTGTTAAGATACTACAATCTCCACAAATTGCCATACTGTTACATAAATTATGTTAGGGTAGCTGTTACCAGTGACATTAGATCTTTGTGCTATGCCACAAGTCGGTTGGTGTTGGAACTGTACCACTGGACATTGACTCAGTGGTTCTAATAATTAAGCATTTTCCGTGTGACCTGAAAATATCGGATCCGACAACTGACAGGGTCGGTAACAAGCGCTCTTGAGAAGACACACACTAGAACGTAACAGTGGTTCATTGTCTCCTGGTTTTCAATGATAATGGCTTATCTTTCACCTGTCATATCAAGAAGCTAGCCAACGATAAGTGATATCGCTTTTTTATGTAAACAAACTAGATGAAATGAGAGAAAATTCTACTACCATATTTAATATTGCCCAAAAAACAAAGGACAAACAGGGTTTTTTCGTAATTCGGTACTTATTAGCGGGGCACTCACGACTCTTCATAAAAACAAACTCCAGACTTTAAAGTAAATCACCACGTTCAATAACCTTGCAACTTTTGATTCAATATCCAGCAGTTAACACTGTACACCACTGGGTTCGTGACATTGTCCAATGTCTTTAGTATGTTATCGCCCCTCACTTTCTGACATGGTCGATTCCACATGTCGTAGTATTACAAGGGAACAGTGAAATTTGTCGGGAGGCTTGTTCACTGTTGATTAGTACATAATTATTATTTAGTTAGTGCTTTGTTGAGACTGACTGACGGTAGATGAAATTACATTAAGAATTAGAGGGAATCATTTAATTTATCATTTCTCAATAATAATCCTCTTCCATCATTATATGGCTCAACTCCTACCTTAAAGCATCATACATCACTTTTTAGTAAAAAGAATAATTTACAATTTCCTTATTGTATAGTGAAGTTTGTCTAATTGTTTCTTCAAAGTGTATTATAATATGCTTTACCAAATGAGATATTGTGACATAGTAAAACAAATCAATATTATTTTCTATTCCCTTACCGTTGATTACTCACTATGGATAATAAAATTACTTATGTTTAAACTTGAAAATAAAGTCACTGCTTTTTAGAGAAGAAAACTAGCCAGTTCAGCCTTAGTTCACTAATTGCAATTATGTTCTTAACTGTAACCCTGAGGTCGAGGTCAAGTCTCGCGTATTTGTTTTTGTGTTGCTGTATTGTACTGTTGTACTATCCAGGTCAATTTGGTGATTCTTTTTTTCTTTCTGCCAATGCTGAATACAATACACATAAACATATTCACACATAGATTCAATAAGATAGATTTGAGGACAAATATTTCGTTTTTTTATAAAAGATTTTACAACAAAACAATGGAGGATAAAATCAATTAGTAAATTGTTCATTTATGACTAAAGATGTGCATTTCTGTTCTTGAATGCTTTATCAATGCCCATACACACACCTACAACATCCACTTTTAAGATCGCGTTACTTTGAACGTTACCATCTGGTTGATCCATAAACTATTAAATAGTTAATATCTTTTTCTCGAAACTTCATTCATTTTGATATAAGGGTCGTTCACATATATATACTTTGGTATCAGAGACGTCAGTACACATGGATCCTGCAAAATACGACGAATTACCATGTGAGATCATCATAGATACGCCAACGCCACTGCGGAAGCCCTCACTATTCAGAGCTACCTAAGATTATATGATATAGAAGCTGAGGATGATTTCCTATTCGAAAGAAAATACCCTCAACTAAATATTTAGATCACATTTATTGTTTCTTAATGATGAACATGAACGACAAGCGACTGCCAGTGGATTGATGTTTAACAACCTATCATCTCGTTACTAAGACATTGAATGAGTCTTCTATACCTACTGATACTTAGCAATATACGATCCAACTTCTATCTGACCATCGAAGATCTCACTGAGCATTCTCGTACTTTACGGCACCTAGCTATCCAAGCACTTCCCCGAATAAACAGTACAGCACGAAAAAAGATAACACTCGTTTTATAGAGAAACTTACCAGGTTCTCTACAATACATTTTCAGTTAACACCAACCAATATAACTTACCTAAAAGAGATTCTCTATCCATTTACACCTGCAGATGTGCTAATAATGAGTTGGAAGTCGTCGTACTTCATGTCTATTGAACAAGTTATGGAGAAGTATCATGAAAATACTGCGCAAATTAGCTGCAGTTATCCGTCAGCAGAGTTATTACAGTAGACAAGGTCTAATGGCCTAATTATATAACTGAAACCAATCTGTAACAAATACAACTGAGAAATTAATTTTTAAATCTAAACCAATTAAAACTAGGACAGTAAACATGTTTAAAAGTTCTTTAAGGTACAATGTTATTCAGTAAATAAATGTCTTCATAGATCACCAACTACCGTCGAATGAATTCGAAACTTTACTTCTAAATTATACTGTAGATCCCATTTTTAATATTAAATAGAGTAATTATACAGTCCGTTGGCTTTTCAAGATATATACGTTCAGATAGCTTTGTGTTAGTGAAAATTTAGTTTCAGTTACAAACTTCTATTCAATGTGATAATAAAACTAACAACAAACCCTTAATATTAGAGCTAGACAAGCTGAAAACTGATTTGGAAATTCTATCAATTCACCTTTGTTACATTTTTTTCTGCGGCAGATAATTTAAACCGTCAGTATTATAGATCAAAATAATAAAGGTGTTAAACACTAATTTTTAATAATCCAAAGCTCTATTACCTTAAGGCATTCCATAGTTCAAATCAATAGTCATTAATTACATAAACACCTAGTTTCCAACTCTAACTAACCTATCTATTCATCATCTTTTTTTTCGACATTGCTGTAAATGTCTCTCTGTAGCAATTTATTTCTTATCTTATAAATATTCTTTATTTTTTTGTTGTTGTAATTTTTCACTATGCTACTTATTGGGGATCACAAGTGGTTCATAAAATTAACTAAAGATTTTATCAGACATTTTGATAGGAAAAAATGTCATTGAAAAAAATATTTTTTTCACTGTCATTTCTCCCTTCGTACATTATCTTATTTTATGTAAAGTTATTGACAGTGGATAAGTCATTTGAGTGTGATATTTAAAGTAAAAGGTTACCACAAATCATTTTTATTCCATTTGGCTGTTGTAATTTGGTTATATAACCAATTTGGAAAATACAGACAATTTATTTCGATTTTTTAATTATGGTAACGTTTTAATTTTGTTTAAATTATTTACTTACTGAATTTAAGTTAGTAGTTGTAGGCTGAAGCCATATATACATTGTATGAATCGGTAAGCATTTTTCTCTTCGAGTTTTAGTAATTGACGTGTCACATTTTCGCCTCTACTAATGTAATGGTTCAAAATATTAGAATGCAGCCATGTTATTCGTGAAACAGTCATCATCATTGGCACCAGATGATCACAAGTTGCATTGCTATCTGATTAAACTTGGAAATGTGTACCATTTGAAACCAATCCACTGGTTTTATGGTTAGATAACCTAGGTTTAATACTTTTCGGATTCACAAGTACAATTTTCTGAGTAGTCCAATATGACGATGAATCTTCAGTCTAATGTTCTCTGATATCAAACGGTTATCCTACCTGAGGTTGATTTATGACGAATACCAGATAATTATTAGCTAAGTCTTTATTTGGACTTTAGGATGACAATAAAGAAATTTCTCATGTTTTATTTCTGCATGTGAATCAACAGTATTACGGTCTTCAATGCATTCGTTGTCAGTGTTCATGAAAATATCATTATTAAAGCATTCTTAAACTTTTTTTCTGATTTCCACAAATCAATCTAATTGTTTTACCAAGAAGAAAAGTTAGCTTTCTCTTTATTTATACTTCATTAAATCTGTTCCACATTCTTTTTCTGCTCTATATTCCTAAAACAAACAAAACAATAGTCAGATTCAGTCAATTTACCGAAAGACAATTTATCAAGCCCGTTACAAAATGGTCAAATTCATCCACCAATATCGAATAGTAGTAGTAGTAGTAGTATTCCAGTTAACCAACCCACTACACCAACAATAACACCTACATGTTTAACGACTAATTTTGTTACTTCACATCAAAATATTTCACAAAATTTATCAAATCCATTATCTATACAACATGTGAATTCATCATCATTGCCTGTAACACTAACAACACAATCATTAACAACAACTAATGGACAAAATGAAATATATTCTAATCAATCTGTACAAAATCAGTTGAAATTAGCTCAAGCTCAAGTGAAACGGTTAGAAATGGAGATTAATCAATTAAAACGTCAAGCTATGCCAGTAATGGGTAGTTCAATGAATGGATTAGTTTATACAACAAATTATACTAATATTGAAGTAAGTTGATGAAAACTTGTGTTTTTCCATTCAACATAATAGATAAATAGATTATATCATCATTATTGTGATATAACGGGTGTTTAAAATATTTTATTTCACTTTCACGTATATTACGATAGTACGTTAATACAATGATAAGACTAGTCACGTTATATCAGAAACAAGATTCACAACCCAGGATAGAGAACTAGATTAACACTAGATAATACCTTTATTCGACATAATTACAAGTAGTTGCACTCAGTGAATCCGCAGTAGAAATAAATGGTAAGAAAGGAAATCACATATTTAGTAGTCACTAGGCAAAGCAAGTGCCGCATTCATACAGTTGAAGAACATATAGAACTCAAAACAACTGTCAACCAACATTAGTCATAATCACTTCGAAGGTGCAAAGTACATACCATACTTACGGACACTGATTGCCAACTGATTAAGTGCGGATTGCATGGCTTGGGCATTATCGCACAGCAAGACAATATCGTCCGCATACTCAAGGTCGAGAAGTGTTTCTCCAGGAAACAGATCCACACCACCATTACTTACATCCATCAGAGCTGTTTCCAGAATGTCATCGATGGAAAAGCTGAAGAGGAATGGTGATATTGGGCAACCCTGTCTAACCCCAATGCTTGAATGGAACAATTGAGAAAGATGTTTGTATGGCCTCACTCTGCCTGAGGTGTTTGTATATAGGGCCTTTAAGATGTTAATAAACTTCTCAGGCATACCCTTCTTCAATAGACAATTCCAGAGAACAGTCCTTTCAAGAAACACTACGATTATTGGCCTTTGATAAATATGACGGGTGAAGATATGATCAATATGCCCTCGACCAGAACGAACCCCCCTCTAAATGCCCTGGTATGGCCGAGAGTGGGGTGGGCCCGCCCCCCTCTCGAAATGCTCTCACACAGCCACGTGTATACAGCCTCTGCCAGGGAAGTCCTACTCACTGCCTTCTCGTGGCGGGGGGTGTTGTTTACGAAAATGAGAGGACGAAAAGCGAATGTCCGGCGCTTTAACCGGATCCCAAACCAATGGTGCACATCGGCTCCAGTATCCCGCGGGAACAAATGGCGTATGAACCAATCGTTGGTCACCGGCTACTATGGAACTGCATCTCCTTACGATGCCCCACTGCTTTGTGGATCAGACCTTCAGGTCGAAGGCTCTGGGTGTGGCCCCCTAAGCAAACCACCTGTTTCGGTTTGGGCACCTGAGCAGTATCACAGCCCTCTCACAAATAAAATGAAAATGACGAATCATAGTTCTCTGTTCACACAGACACATCAGTCCAGGTTGGCATGGTGGGCGTTTAAGCAGTGACTTGATTGGTTATTTATTGACACACCAATCCTTATTTTTTTTACAAAACGTCGAAAACTAGTAACTAAGGTAAACAAGTTATGCAAATAAATAACTCAAGTTGGTTGCTAATAATAGTTATGAATAAATTTTCTCGATAATTAATGGTTTTTAACTTGCTACAAATAGTTATAATTACGCACTTAAGTGTGATCCGGGAATGGTATCATTTAAAACCTATCCTTCCATTATTTTCTTGTAGTAGACATTCGTCGTTTAACCACTTATCCCTGGGATTTGTCTCTTTTTATATATTGGCTTTTTCTACTTATTATATTGATTTTGAAATCTATAATTAAAATACGTCACGCTCGCGAAGCTATATTCAACGAAAATTCATGAGTTGATGTTTTTTCGGATTTTCATGCACATTTTTTTGGTGAGTTGTTTCTGCAGTTTCTAGGACTTACAATTCTTCTGTGAAATTTGAATTACTTATATTGAAGTGGGTACCAAACTATGTGAATGAAAATAAACCCTAAGTAAGAATGAAGTTTGTATGAGACGTTCACTTCATTACCCAAATACTGATTTTAGTTCAGAACTAAATTGTGCAGTGAAATAATTCTACATACAGATATCATTATTAAAATAAATAATATAGAATGTCTCTAATATTCTTACATCAGACAATGTGTCTGCAAACAAAAAAATTTGCAGGCTCCCACCAGACACATAAAGCCTTAGTATAACAGTATCTAGTCATATTTTATTCTCTGAGTTGTGACTCACATTGTTCTGAATATGGCAACTTAATTGTACTAGAAATTTAGATATTAACTTTCCTATTGTTTAGATTTATGTTTATTGTCACTACCCTGTTTTACGTTTAAACAGCCGGGAATATCAATGGATACCGTTGATAGTCCTGATCTACGATGTGGTATTGCACGTTTGGAATTAGATGGTACTAATGGCGGTGGAAGTGCCGGTGTCAATAGTAATGGAGAATGGATTAACGAATTGAGTATTAGTAATAAACCTAGGCCAGTTGGTACTATTCATCCTTCATTGGTACAAGGTAATCAAAACAGACTATTATGGATGGATCGTGCATCACAAGATACTATACGATCATTGCATATACGTTTAGGAAATGTATTAAAAGAAGCCTTAGAAATTCATAATCGTTTAAGTTCTCTTCTATCAATTCCATCTGTAGAGTAAGAAATTTTGTGTTCAATACACTAACTCACTGACTGACTACTTCTTCTCAGTCTTCCTGTATACATGACTTAAAATTTATTTCTTTATAATTTAGTTTAGATTTCTTGATGTGTTATCAATTTGTTGTTTTTTCTTCTTCTAACATTAATGTTTCTTCCCTAAGATGATGAAATTCCCCCCCCCCTAACAATAATACAAACATCTTCATTTTATTCTTTTTAATAATAACGGATACTGCTAGATGCCTGTCAGTATTTTAATCATCATCTATGCTGTTGTACAGTTCATGTAATTTACTTTAATTTGCTATACTGGTGAAATGTAAATTCTTTTTCAATTTGTTACATAAGACAAAATTAACTCGTAAAATAAACAAGTATTATCACTACTATTCATTCGTAAATAATAATGACAAGGTCATATCTATTTATTCTAATGCATGATGTTTGTTTTATTTCTCTTAATTGATGTTTCTTATTCCCTGCGAATTTCCTCTCCTTTCTTTTCTATCTTTTATAATATAATTCCAAGATTAATTTTATAAATACTCCTTAATATAGTGGTATTACTTTAGATACAATGATTCGTCTTTAATGTCAATGAATTACTTAAATAGATTAAATTTGATTCATTTCTCGTAGTGAAATATCTGCAAGATATTTCTTATGTACTTCGTGTATCAGTCGATCTGACAACTGTTATTACAATAATTACAAGCGGTTCATAATTTTCCTGAGGACGGTAATATAAAGTGCTAACTAGTTTATTTTCGTATAGCATATTTCAAACAACCACCAAGCACATGATAGGAGACAATGAGAAAGTAAATAATTTAATGGAAATTATGAAGTAGATAAAAACAGACATGTGGTTTAAGCTACTAACATTTAGGCGAGTAAGGGTAACTGTATTCGTGGGCATCGGAATGTAAGGGTACAGGTATAAGCAGATTCTTACTGACATAAATCATGGTGTGTTGAATTAATTATTCGGAGAGCTTAGTTTATTACTGTCCTCCAAGCATTGCACTTGATAGAAAGATGGATAATATAAAATAAACTGTATCAACTTCCTTTCCAAATGCTTCAGTGGAAATATACTATGTATCACTATACCATATAACTTGGTGTAAACAAAGAATTACTATGTACCGTAATTCAATTGTACTAAGGTAACATAAAAGCTATGCAGAATTCAGATTCTTCTGGTCATTTTGCTTACAACAGCTAATCGCATACTGAGGTAAAACAAGTATAAGTATAGAGTGAGAATAAGCCGTCTACTGTCTAAATGAACGCATCTCACTACGTCGAGTACGTTCACCAGACATTAGTTTTTGATACATTGGATCTTCAAACCACGATTTTTTTCTTATATGATTCAGATTAACAGTACTTTTCAACGATATGAAATGGAATGGTTAGAAGACGCATTATTGTTCTACCACGAAATATCTAGGGTGAATTAGATTAGAAAATACCGCACTAATCTGCATATTACAATCATTCTTCTGCAAACTTACTAGCAGAAATTTCTGATAAAAACTAAGAAATCAAAAGTCTTTCGTAGTATATAAAATCGGAATGTTATTAATACTTAGAAAACAATGCCAATTATATAAAAATGATAATAACAAACACCGAAATAATAAAAACTTAGTGATTTTTGACGAGGAAAGTTAGAAAATGCCGAAGGTGTTTTTAAACATAAATGCTGCCACCAATTATTATAAAATATGTAGTTTTACTTTGACAAGATTACATTTATTCTTCACAAACGAACACCTCTCGTCTCATCCGTTTCATTTGTTGATATGAATTTGATTCAGGATAAGCGCTACGCTTACGATAAGGTCGGGTGTTTTGTTTTATCATTACAAAGTGTAATGAATCATAGTGCCCTGAAGATGAGTCCTCCTCATTTTCGGAAGCAACTTCGTCGTACACTGTTTTACAGTCATCGAAGGCAATAGCTTTACGATCGATAGTACTGAAGGCTAACGGTTCTATTGGCAAGAAATACAAAGGTAATTGTACCTTTTCAACTGGTTGAAGTTCTTTGCGCTCAGTTAACTCACAATCCATATTAGTATCAATAGAAAGTAAACTATTTTTATAAACAGATTCGTAGACAGTATATTCGTTAGATATTTCAACCATTTCACTTCCTGAAACCTTATTATCCATAATCGCATGATTTGAATAAATAACCTTTTGATATACTGGAACTACATTTGTGTGACAATTTGGACAATAAGCTATAGGTAATTCATTAGAACATTGTTTTAAAGTCGGAGCGATTGGATCATCCCGTTTAAATGTTTTTATATAATTTCCCGATTCACTTGATAGAGACTCAAGAGACGAACAGAAATTAGTGTCAAAGTTATTAGATATTCTTGAGTTTCGACGTTGCTGAACCCACCTTGACTTTTGAGTATCTATATTTTCTCGAAAGGGACGCTTAAAAGTTAAACTTGACCGCTTCGTTGCGCATAATAGCGACCATAGTAATGGTTTTTTCTTTATTTTCAGCTTATTCTCTACTAAAGCGCGTTGTGAACCAGAACTTTTAGAAAACCATCTCATTATAGACTAGAAAGATAAGGTCGGAAACAAAAAATTAATAAATATTTGCTAATTTTGAATTTTTGTATTAACGAAAAAACCCCAAATGTGACCGAACAACACAAACGAGAAAGTGTATAGATTTTACACAACTTACCCTTTAAATATAACTGGTGTAGTGGAACGTGCCTTTAGAATTAAAATTCATCTAACTTAACTAATATCTAATTAGAGAGTAAACCTTCGACGGCGTGGACAACAAAAATTTATTTACCCTCTCTCTCTACGCTTACTGCTATATATATTCAATCAAAATAACCATGAATTTCGAAGTAGTAAACAAAAATCCTTCATTTTATAAATAACCAATAATAAGATAGCATAATCTGATCAGAGATTCACAGTATTTGGACGCCGAGTTAATGTGAGACATTACAGAAGAAGAATGTATTTGTAAAGTCTCAGCGAAAGGATTTGAAGTAAATCCAACGTCTCACCTGGCAATTTGGTCTAAGCTTTTCTAAGGAAATATAATCAAACATCAAAATTATCGAATATAAATAGGTACAAGGTTCTCCAGTTTACTGTATACTGAATAAATCATCTAATCAACGTTAACAATGTAAGAGATTATGCACAATATCTAAAGCTCTTTTAATAGTAACATTAGTGAACAATGAGCAAACATCAAAACTTGCCATTATTTCATCCTCTTCTATCCAAATATTACTGACAATGTTTTTGAAATCATTAGAATTTCTTTTTCCATATTTGATTACGCTTTCATATATGGTTTAAGAATTTTGGCCAAGTATCTAGAAAGATTATAGGTTGGTGAATTTATGTAATCAACCACAGGTCTTAGTGGGATATCTGTTTTATGTATTTTCGGTAGCCCATAAAATCTAAAAGGGTTATTGCTTTCCGGATATAAAGAAAACCATAAAGATGATCTTAGTTTGGATTTTAACTTCTGTAACATTTTGGCCGTTTCAATTTATTTAAATTGGCTCTACATTTGTTATTCATGACTTTTTCATAGGGTCCAATGTGGAGATGTTCATTGACGTTTTCATGATCAGAACTATTCATAACAACAGTGTTATAGCTATGAGATCACTGGTTTCTCCAGTTGTTGCTAACTTCTTCATGTATTCACCGGAAACAAGTGCTATCTCAATGTGTCCCATTCCATCGAAAATTTGGTTAAGATATGTAGATGACACGTTTGTCATTATAAAACGAGATGGTTTAGACGAACTATTTGAACGTGTCAACATTTATGACAAAATCAAGTTCACTAATGATTTGGAATCTCCTGAACACAAATTACCTTTTCTAGACTGTTTAGTTGAAAGGAAGTATATTGATTGTTTAAAAATTAGTATTTTCCGAAAGTCGACATATTCAGGGAAATTTCTGGATTTTAAGTCAACACATCCACAGTCTACCAAAGTGACAGTAGCCAAAAATTTGATCACCAGAGTTAAAAAAACTTGTCACTGAACCAAATGATATAGAAAATAGAAATGAATTTAATTATATCCACTCTAATGATGAATAATTATATGAAGGACTTTATCAAAAGAATAATTAAGAATGAAGAACAAAACGATACTATTAAAAAAAGAATTAAGCAAAAGAATGGACTAACACAGTGGTGATCCCATATCGTAAAGGTATTTCAGAGGAGATCAGAAGGATTCTAACTCTTCAAAATATAAGAGTATTCTTTCGAACAAACAATACTCGGAGATCAAAACTAGTAAGAATCAAAGATCCAATACACAATGAAGAACAACAGAATTGTGTTTATGAAATCAAATGTAGTGACTGTAATGCAACGTATGTAGGTGAAACATCAAGGCAACTGAATGTGAGGGTGAAGGAATACAAACTATACTTAAAGCGCATTCCTAAATCTTCAGTTGAGGTAAGGAAACTTGAGAACAAATCAGCGATAGCATTACACGCGATGGAATCGGGTCATACAATTGATTTCAATGACGCAAGAATCCTTCAAAAAGGCTTTAATTCTTACAAAGAAAGACTAACAGCCGAAGCCCTACATATATGGGCTAATTCAAACAGTATTAATAGGTGTTATGGATGCTGAGGAATGATGTGCCAATCATTATCATGTTAAGTCTAATGATGTCCTTGGACGTTAAATGAACATCTCCCATTGGCCGTTATTTATTTCACTCGTTAAGTGTTGTACAGATGTTGTTTTCTATTTTTATGGTACGATGTGGTCTGTTTGGTCAGTATATAAATAGAGTATGTCTGAAATATAATGATTCATAACTCAAAGGCTGTGACTTTCGTTCTAGACTCAACTGGCTGGGCTAGACAGGGAAGCGGGACCAATAAGGGCACTGGGTCGTTCACTACGTGTTTTCCGTGTCACGGAATTGATCAATAAAACGCTGCGCATCTAGCCTGCAGTCCACTCGTTACAACAATAGGTGAGATGGAATACAATTAGCTGTTCCATGGCAACTAATAATTAATAAGTAAACTTGAACTCCTTATTCCATTTTATCTGTATCGCATTAACTAATTAGCAGATATTACATTCAACGGTTCAAATCAGTTATCTTATCTGAATATGTTAAACAATTAACTGAAACATTGAAAATAACATAAGCTTTCAATTACAAATACATTCTTTCTCTTTGAATTCATTCCTTTATCTTGTTTATTTATCTTCATTTAATGCATACTGTAACATTTTTGATTCATATGTATAATACGTTTTCTTAATGTTCACCGACCGAAGACAATATATGGTGAATGAAATTTCTTCTCACTTACGTATACACACAATCTGTTATGTTAACATTTTTCGTTTCACACCACATGTCTCTTACACACTAATGTGAATACCTACTTTAAACATTGTTAACGTTGATTAGATGATTTATTCAGTATACAGTAAACTGGAGAACCTTGTACCTATTTATATTCGATAATTTTGATGTTTGATTATATTTCCTTAGAAAAGCTTAGACCAAATTGCCAGGTGAGACGTTGGATTTACTTCAAATCCTTTCGCTGAGACTTTACAAATACATTCTTCCTCTTTATGGGATATTGCTTAATCTCACAGTTCAAGGAAGAACAAATAGTGTATGCACCTACGCCATTGTGATCGATTCTAAGCCATGTCATCCATAATCTTCAACCATTAGATGCGATAGTCGCGCAGAAACCAAACACGTAGTCTGTATCTACCAACATGGCTCAGTCTTGAACTTGGTGACGTTATGGGCTGATACCACGTTTTAGTTCGGTCGACCCTAATATTTTTCCATCCATCTCCAACATTGGTCAGCGTTGCGCATCGTGGTAAACAGTGTTCAGGCATACATAATACGTGACTTAACCATCACAGCCGACTTAAAACCTCATCAACTGATTTACCATAATTCCATAATAACCTGCGTCTAACCTCACTATTACTTAACCTGTGATTCCAGTAGATGCGAGCAATATTTCTAAGACATCTGTGATCAAATACTAGGAATTTACGAGTACCGTCTACTCTTAATGGCCACGTTTCACAGACATAAAGTAGAACAGAACGAACTACTGCTCAGTATACTCGTCCCTTAATTGGTAGACGGATATCTCGACTTCGCCATAGGTGACGTAATTTGGCAAAAGCCAAAAGAGGATTTTAAATCCGTGCAGAGATTTTGTCAGACACCGACCCATTAGGGTTGATCAGATTTCCAAGATAAGTGAGGTTGTCAATGCGTTCGACTACTTCACTCCCTATCCTTAGTTCAGGTGTTGACACAGGCTAATCGTAAAGCAACACCTTGCGTTTAGAGGGTGAGACACGCATCCCAAACATTCTGGTATTGTTGCTCACTGCTATCAAGAGGCTGCATTTTATCAGCGTCTTTAAAACTATTCAAATTGCTATCAAAAAAGCAAAAGACAATTAACAATCCGAAACCAAACGTTGAAAGAGTGAGCAAATATATTTACCCTAACCCTAGTCAATTGTAGTGTGGAAACCTACATTACGAGCTTGAAGGCACAAATGACTAAACTAACTACAAATTATTTATAATGGACAACAAAAGCAAGAGACAAAGATATATTTGTATCTTTAGCATCAGGTGCTTAATAATAAGGATAGAGATGACAGGTTAGGACATGTGTTACGTATGCCCAACAACTGCCTACCTCGAGGGGAGATGTTGTACAGTGCAGGGGTAGGCTGGAAGACAGCTAGTGGCCGCCAAACAAAAACACAGCATCAGTCCACGAAGTCACTGGTATTTGGACTTGGGCATGTTAACAAGTGTAGACTACGTGGCTGGGGTCCGCGTGATTATTGTAACAATGGTTAGGGACGACATGGCTCAAAATCGTTCCCAGTGGTCCAGGTGGATTTGTTCTTTGTTTTTTCCCCAAATTATGAGATTCTAAATTCCTCATAATTTTCTGTTTTCATTTCACTGATTTATATTTTCTTTTCGAATAGTATTTCAGATGCCTAATCTTTTTTGTTACGACTGGTACTGTTACTACGTCTACTATCCTGAAATTCAGTTTGAAAGCTTCATCTCTCCGTGCTGAGGTATGGAAACTTGAACCGACGTATATACGTACAGGTTCTACGTTGTAACTGACTGACTGACATATGATTCCAACGCGTACTATAGATAACGAACTCGCAGAAGAAACCCACTGGAAACAATTATTGAGAACAAAAATTCCTAATGCCAATGCAACTAGTCAGTCATAATATACTGCAAAATGGGAATGAGGATAGCTAGTTATAATTAGAAATCACTTATAATCAAACAGTAATTACTTACGAATATCCTGTTTTCACAGACCATATACTGTAGTCGCAAATCAAGACAGAAACGACTGCTATGCAGTATACCCGTACTTTGCTGTTTAGAGGATGTATTTAGGCATCGATTGATTACAGAGGTCATTTTTCTAGACACTAGAACAAATGAACTAGTTGGTTATCACAAGGGGTTTTATTCCTT